ATCGACTCAGCAGGGGCGGGCCGGACACCGGGCTGGGTTACACTCGTCTTCCGATGCCGGCAGCACTCATGTGTATGTCTTCCGGGAGATTGCCGTTGAGGTACAGCGCGGCGCTCTACTTCAGGGTGAGCCAACCCTTTCTAACAGTTCTCCCGCCCAAGCGCAGTGGGCCCAGCGAACCTTCAGAGTAGATTACATACACCGTCTGTGGCCAACAGGCTAGTGGATAGGAGTTCTGTGTCTCTACTCTCTCATCTCTCTCTTACTCTCTCTAAAAGGTCTCTGGACTAATCTCTCTCTTTAACATAAAATTATTATACCGTCATCGCACCCCGACGCTTCTTAACATCCGGTCCGGAAGGCAACATATTTCCGGCCACAACAAACGAGTTGTACCCGAGAATACCAACCCCCAAACAATTAACGAAAGAATACCATCATTTGAAATTTGAGGACCCATTACTGAGTTATACAGTACTGTTCTTACAGAGAACATATACCGAGATTCTATTACCAACCTCCGGTATTTCTCGGTACAGCTCGGTATAACTCAGCTATGATCTTGTTAAAACGAGAACGGCAGTCTTCCTCATTATTATCAAATATACGCTCAGTCTGCTACCGAGCAACACTACTAGTTTTTTGACGGGGAAATTGACTACACCCGACCGGACGCTTCCTCTACGCTCCTATGCACGGACGTAATTCAAACGTTCCTCTCCTAAAGCTTGTCGACCGTTAATCTCACTCATTAAATTGATGAGACACATCTCAACTAATAATCAATGTCACCACAAATAAATGAAATAAAAAATTATTGACAAATAAAAACTACATAATTAGTTAAACAAATATAATTTTAAATATACATATAAAAATGTAGAAGCAAACTTCATAATTTAAAGAATTAGGACACATTTATAATATGATGATATTTTATCATTAAATGTTTTAGTTTTATACATTTTGATTTTATTACATCACTAAATCCACCAAACTAGATTGATATAACATAATTAATTTAATATAATTACTTATTTCTTAATTATATTTTACAATTTGTATAATCCACTTTTAGAGGATTAATGTGTGCTTTGTAAACTTATACAACATTCTTGTGTTTTATGCATGATCGCGAGGTCACTCACATGGAAGAATAAATTTAGAAACGCTCTCATTTTTACATCATATGTGATCTACTTCATTTATTCAAGAGTGTTTCATAGCTATACTAATTATATTTAATTTATTATGCCTTTACTTATATATTAATATTAATTAAAATTATTAGTAACTTATCCTAATTAAAAAATTATTGATCCCGATCGATTCTTAGCAAAAACCAGGACCAACCGGTCGACCTTCTGTTTGATTTTTAAAAAAATAGCTTAACATCGTATGCTAAAAATAGTTCACATAGACAGAGCATCTTAACATATTGTTTTTAAATGTAGCAACCAATTAAGGGAAAACTCATTTTACATATTTTTTTCCTTTTCTAAAAGGAAAATCATCAAATAAATGATTTCCCTTATAGCCCAGCGCCACAGTGGTGTGTGTAGGGTCCCACATTGAGATTATCTTGACAGTACTTTCTCCAATCACTATACAATTAATATTTATTTAAGCCTTTTTATGATACTAATATCTATTATTAATTTATCAAGTTATAATGTCTCACATTAATAAATATTCAATTAAAAATTATTTAATTACTTTAAATAAAAATTGTCTGAACTTATTAAAACTTTAGAAAATTAGGACCAATTAAATTATTCACCGGTTATATCGGCGGTTCGATCACGATTTTTTAAAAACCATGCCACAATATATATAATTTATATTATATAATAAAGGTGAACAATTATGAAAATAGCTTATAGTAATTGAAATTTTAGATATCAAGGACGGCATTCAAATTCACATTTTGTATATTATTAAAAATTAGGCAAGATAAGGAGAAATCAGATTTCTTATTTTTTCTTATTCTAAAATCGGGAACATCATAAAATTTCCTCTATATTTAAAAATGGAGAAATGATTTCTTTATTTCTTATTTTAAATAGGGAATCATCTTCCCTATATTTAATAATTAATTATATTTTTAACTATTTTAAAAGTATATTATTTTATTATGTAGAGATAATATCCTTTAATTTTTTAATATGTTATTTGATTAACGTAGATGGTATATGACGCTTACATTTTGTTAAATTGATGCTTTATGATATGAACATAATATATAAACATAAAATTAAAGAAGATGGGGGAAACCATTATAAGCATATGTCAAATATATTATTTATTGTTGATAGACTTTCTAGTTACTATGATGGATTATTTACATATATATTATATAATAAACTCACATTATATAATATATACTTAAATGATTAAAAATTAAATTGTTTAGAATTTTAAAAATTATCAAATAAAAATAATAATATTTCATATTATATAAATATAATTAAAAAAACAAAAAAAATAGTTATTAACATTAAGCAAGAGACGCGTTTTATTTAGTATGTTTTCCGTCCACAATCAATTTGATGTTTTTGTATAGATATACATAAATTTTTTCTTTTTGCCCCTGATGGAAAATACATAGAGTGGTGGAATTTTTGAAGTTATTTTTAATCAATATATATTAATATCATTTAAGAGTTTAATATATAATATTGTATATTAATTTTAAGGTTTAATGTTATATTTATATTAAATTAAATATTTAATAAAAAAATTGTTGGACGTAAATGGTCTCACACCAATTATGAACCGTTGATCCGATCCGAATCCTTTTTAAACTGAAATTATTAAAAATAGATTGATTAGTAAAAGAAAAACAAATATACGATGAGCGTATACTAAATATAAATTAATAATAAATAATCAAACATAGAAAGAAAACCATTTCCCTTTTTTACCTATTCTAAATAGGAGGAAATTTATTTCATCCTATTATTAGATATGAGAAATGACCTTTATTGGCATTGTCATTTATTAATCATATATTTTAATAATATGCGAATCATATTTTTTATATTTACTAATTTTTTCTTTTTATGTATAATATTTTACTTTTTTAATATCTTATGTTGGGTTAGTGAAAGATTATGAAGTTAATTATTGATTAAGTGACTTACCTTTTATGCTGCTAGTATATAATAACCATAATTAAAGAATGATGAGAAAATTGCAAACATATGGCTTATAACATTATTATGTTGATATATTTTGTTATTCTTAATGATCAATTAATTTCTTGTCCTATTTATTTAATTTTATTTATTTATAATTATGTCAAAATGAAAATTATTAGGTAATATAATTAATTTTAAGAATATATAAATTTAAAATATTAATAAATTGTTAATTTAATTATATTATTTTTTTTTAATATTGTTGGTCGTGTGGGCCAGGTGGTAGAGGTCCCACATTCGTAACCTTCCACTCTCATAAACGATACGAGGGTGGCTAGGTGAAGACGGTAAGATCCGCCATAATCGCCGACTGCTGCGAGCATACACGGTAACGCAAGTATTCTTGATAAACTAGCCTCGGATTTCAAATCACTCGCCGGCAGGATGTCCTACCCGAAACGCAGGTACTATTATTTATTTAAATTATTTATAATTCGCATAGATTGAATTAAAATTTCATTATCTTAATTAAAATTGTTATTTATGTTCAATATTATCAGGGTGGGAGAAAGTTTTACCTCAGTATGGGATTGGGCCCGTTCGCCGGAACCACTGGAATCAGCGCTGGATCGAAGAGCATGAAAGGGGAATTTGACATGTGCAGCTAAATCCTCTATCGAAGCCGCCGTACTCGCTACGCTTATGCCTGTGGGGGCCAACGCCCCTGCAATTACCTAAAAACCTTTCAAGAGAATTTCTGCAACGCAAAAATACCATGAAAAACAAACAAATCAAGTTATAATCACTTTTAAAAATTAATCTATCATAAAAAATATTTGCTTTAACATAATTTTACAATTATATTATAGAAAAAAACTGTCCCTATTTAACAGCGCGCGATGACCTCTTGTCTTTTTGGAGAACGATTTTATTTGGTCCAGTCACCTAACGTGCTCTATGTTCGGACGTCAGTAAATTAGTGTCCGTTGTTCACATTATTTACAACTAACAAACGTGCGCCCGACAACCCGACCGGAACGGAGACGGTATTGCATGTTTGCGTATTGCTAGATATTACTCGGTATTGCAAGGTTTGGTCGTTCTTGATCGGCGAATTAACAAGAAATATCTTCTATGAAGACCAATACCGAGCATACAGATCAATACCGAGTTTTTCTCTATATTGCTTCAGGTATCGTCGGTATTGATCGGTATTGGATCTTACAGAGCGGTATTTCACGGTTTTTTTGCCAAGCAATACCTATCCAATCCGAGTCAATACCGAGAATTAACGAGCAATTCCAGAGGTAATGGCGGTAATACGCAAACATAGCAATCCTGGGTCTAGGTCGTGAGCCGCGCTGTAAGGTAAGAGCACGGTGGGGCGACATATATATTTTGATGTCCGAACGTTAGGTTACATCAGGTCACCTGACCTAATAATTGTTTATTTGGAACGCATATCTTTTAACTTTTTAAATCATCTTTTAATATAAAATTTATTTTTATTTAAAAATTATCCCAAACAATATTCTAAATAATTTAGATTAATATATTGTGCTATAAATTACCGAGTTGAGTTTACTATAACACACTGTTATCTTTATAATCATTATTTTCTGTTTTAGTCCGGCTGAGTGTGAATATTGAATTGAGCTTTGAAATCTTTGTTCAAGCTGTTATTAATTTCTCTATGTAGTTTTGTTTAAAATAAAGCTTAATTTAAGAACTAAATAATTATATATTTAATGTTAATAAATTTATAATTACAGCTTAAACTATTAGAATAATTGAATTTAATTATATATATATATATATTGGAGATTTTATATATATATATACAAATATTTATAATTCATAAATGGATATTCATGGTCCAAAATACTTCATCAGGTTAATTGATGATTACTCATGATACATATGTGACACCTATAGAATTAGTATACAATTATACCTATTATGACCTGACCTAAGTTGAGGTAACCCACCAAGCTTCTGCCTTTGAACCCCCTCTATAAATATTTGGTAGTGTTTCGTGTGCATGTGTTATGAAGTGGGTATCAAGGGTCTATTTGCATGTTTAAAAAATTTGAACTTCCCCTAGGGCATCATCGTGCTAAGTTCAGAGATGTTGTAGCACCAGTCCGCTTGGATTTTTGGCAAATTAATTCAGCACAACAGTGTTGGGGTGGACTGCAGGTTTTTTAAAAGAGCATTGTGGGGTGCCACGGTGTTAGGCCAAATTTTTTTTTCAAAAAAAAATATCCAAATTAACTATTTGAATTCATTTTATCCTTTAAAAAATTGGTGCAATTGAGAGAAGGAGAGGTTTTTATAGAATTATATAATAGCACTATAATTGCATCAGTATTGTAAAATGCATTATATTTGTGTTTGAAATATTTGAATGGTGTGAAAAGAATTTCTGTTGGCGATGATAAGGAATTTTTTTATTTGTTATATGTGTTAGAAGTTCTTGAGCCTAAGGGCTATTTTGATATTTACTAGAAGGAATTTTTTTTTGTAGTGAGAAATAATTATATTATTTATTATATATGGGCCATTGGGGTCTGAAGGTCATTCTAATATTTTCTATAAGATACTTGTTAATATTTCAATTAATTTTAGTACCATTTAGTAGTTAATTAAATGCTTATTTCAATTTACGATAAGTATTTGCATTAGCTTCAATTTTTTATAGTACTTCATTTATTTCATCATTTTTATCTCTTTTGTTTGAGTTATTGATTTATATATTAGGCCATTATTTCCTATTGAGCCGTGTTTGCTCTCTTCTACTTTTTTCTTTCTTTTTCGGGCTAGGGAATGAACAAGGAAAAAACTATGTAGTTTATGATATCGGGCTTTGATCTGCGTTTTCAGTGTGCATTTTGTTAGTTTTTCTTTTGTAGGCTTGGCTTTTATTTTTTGTTGTACTCTTTTGTTGTCAAGCGTTATGTAGATAAACCTCAAATTACACATATATTTTTGGATGACATAAATAAATTATTTATAATATTCTAATTTTTCGCTTTATATTAATATTCAGTATTGGCTCTGTGTTATGTATAAGTTGGATATTTAGCTCCTTAGCATTTCTCCAACTGGATCTTAGGATTTGTTTCTTCTTGTTGCCATGATTGAGCATGGTATGATTTGTGAAGTTTAGTTGGCTCATATCATGTATTTTATTATCAAAGCATTGATTGGAGAAATAAATTATACCATAGCCATAATATTTAATTTGTAAATGTTGACCTCATTTATACATAAGGTCATCAGGATTTATCAAGACTCCTGTGTGTTGATATGATGGTTGATAATCATCCAGAACCCAATCTACACTTCAATCTAGACTTCAATCAAACTTCAATCATCCAATTGACATCAATCTTTAATCACTTGAAGCTGCAGCCCTACAATGTAGCCATGTGGCTTAGTATTTAATGCCCAACTCAATACACTAGCACTTAGTGATCACCACTTGATTTTCCTTTTCCAATAATCAACAATCACCTAATTGATTGTCATTGATGTGGATAAATTATATACAATCAATAAAATCTAGAATGCAGTTCAAATCTAAATTTCCAGACCAAAATTCAAGGTTAAAGGGTCATGTCCTATAACCCTTTTTGAGTGAGTTTTCAATTACTTCAAAACCTAGTAAAAATGACTCTTGATTCATAATATATAAATTGAATATTGATTAGGCTTGTCACTAAGATCAACCATCCAAATTGGAGGCCAATTTGAGACCTATAACCTCTGAAACTTGATTGAAATCAAAAAGCTACAAAACTTTCAAATATTTGCATCCTATGTCACTAAGCCTTCAACCTTATATAATTTGACCATGGGACCTTTCCCGAAGCCCTTGACCAAGTCCATAATCCGCATTATGACATGTTGAATACAAAACTGTATTTTGGTGGACTTTGGTTGACCCACAAATGACCAGGGGTCAAAATGACCAAAACACCCTTTAAAGGAACAATTAAAGTTTTCTTTAAACTTAAATATGGCCAAACCAAATCAGACTATGAAACATTCCACAATGCATCCTAAATGACATTTGGAGTGCAATGAACTCAAACCCAAGATTTAGTTTGATAGGGTTGACCAAGTCAACCATGGTTGACTACAAGTCTTTCTTAAGCATTTAAACATGCATTTCAATCCAAATTGCATTCCCATCAATAGAGACCACATTCATTAGTCTCATCTTAACAATCCAAACTCAACAAACCTAACCTTTAATCATAGGTTAACTTGGTTTACCAAGTTAATAAAGTTTGACCAAACACACATACATTTTAATCTAACTCAACTTCTTTGACCAAGGCATTGCTAAGCCTATCTAAACCCTTAGGGTGACCCATTAGGTCCCTAAGAGGGTCCCCTTGAAGGCCAACCATTGAGCCCACTTGGGTTAGCCATATGGCTTGACTAAATTATCCAAAGTGATCTCTCCATGAGCCAAATCTCACCTTAAGCCAAATCAGATCAAGCCAATGGTTGCATTGGGTCCCCCATAACCCATTACACCTGCCTTAACTAGCTCAACCCTGGGGTCATATCAGGCTAAAAATTGGGCTAGCCCAAAGTACCCAAAACCATTAAGGGCTAAGCTAATTCTCATGCTTCACCAAGCCTAAGTAACAATTGCATTGGGAAGCCCTAGGTCCAATATACCATCCCTAATTCACCCAACCCCTTATTTCACTTGGTTTAAGACCTAGGCTTGCCCAAAGAGGTCAAAACAACTTTTATTTAAGATAACTTTAAACCTTGGTTAAACCAAATCTATTGGCTTATCACGTTAGGTTTCCCTTAACCAAACACATCTACCCTGGTTAAACCAAACTTGGCTTGACCAGGGTCACACTAAAACTAACCCAAACTATCCAGGATGGGGTCAACTCAAGCCATCTTACATAATTAGACCTCTCTATGCCTAATTGAGATCAACCTTGAGCTCACTAGACCCCCAACGACCTTTACACCTAAGCCTAGCCCAAGTGGTGGCCGGCGGGAGCCAAAGCAGGTGAAACTGTCCACCTATGGTTTCCCTCTTCACATGAGTTGAACATAGCCACTTTTCAATTTGATCTCACCTCCTTTAGGCTCAGGAAGCTCTAAGAAATAACCCCTTCCAATTGGAGAGCATCCAAAGGCCTTGTTGATCGATCTAGCTATCTGTCGCCTTAGTTGAGGTTTGAATAGGGCACTCTCATCCAAAGACCCTCATTCGTGCCTATATTTCAAAAACCCTTCCCAATGCTCTCCAAGCAATCCTCTTCCTTCCCCCAGCTTCCTAGCCCTCTCAAGAGTGAGTTTGAGTAAGCTTCAGCAAAATCTTTCCACCCTCCGCTTGAAGTCCTACTTTCGATGATCCTTCAGATGTGACTTATAAAGGAGACATATTTGTAATCATTCCCTAAAGCTACCTGATACAAGGCACTAGAATTAGGAGCTTTATGTGAAGTATAAGCCTAATCCCGATCTCCTAGCTCGGTAGTTATGGTCAAGTGTGAAACAAACTGTCAAACCATTAGATTTTGATTATTGGATTGACGATTTGTACTTTCCTAATCCTCACTGTAAAATATAGTGGAAGTTCACTAATAGGATCTCTCAGATTACGTCGGAGAAGTCTTATAGCTTCAAATGCTCGTGGGATGTAGAAAATGTAATATTAACTATTGATCTTAATCAATGGTGCAGATTACCTTCAGCTATCCCAGAGCAAATTTAATTATAATCATTGGATCATCCA